AAATTTTATTATGTTTTTTGAGTGTTATATATGCTGTTTTATGTTTTTCCGCCCTATAAGGGCATAGTTGTCTTTGTACTGTTCTATTATTTTAGTATAAATAATAAGTGAAGGGGGTGGCCAGATTATTGCTCTCTTTTCTTTCAACTTCTCTTCTTCTCCTTCTCTCTTCCTTCTCTCTTCAAGAAACTACTTTCTTTCATATTTTTTTTTAATTCAGCAGATTTCTACTAAGTCAATGCACAGTTATTAGCTGGTGAAGAGAAGGAGAATAGCCCTTGATTCATCAAAAGCAAGTTATTTATTATACTGCTCAATTCTGTTGGTCCTATCAAAGTTAAGCTTTTATTTCTATGCATTTGGAGGCTGCAAATCATGTATTTTCTCCCCAGGCTGAAGTTTTAACTCTACGGCATCTGCTCTCACATTGTGAGGGCATTTTACCATGGATGTAACAAATGCCACATCAGCAAACATGTATTGTTTTCACAATTTGTCCTTGTTGAAAGAAAACACCAATAGTGTGATAAGAGAAGGAACTGGAGCTAGGCAGAGACACAAGAACAGAGAGTTTACACCAGGGGTAAAAGGGGCATTGAATGGAATAATATGAGGGATTCAATTGAAATGATATTTGTGAAAGGGCCTTGCATTTTCAAGTTAGTGCCAAGGTCGGAAGAGATATGCATGCCTCCTAATTACACTACATTTTGGTTCCACAAAGCATGTTTGGAAAAGGGCTGCAGGCTATGGAGGCTGCCTTCTGATTTGAGACACTTGACTCATTAAACCGAGGGGATTAGGGGCAAGAGGTGGGTTGTTACTGGAATCGTTTCCTCATGCTATCATGTAGGGGCTGTAAGAGGAAAAGAACTTGGCATTACTGTAGGAAATCCTGGCACTGTTGTGATTGGAGGCCTTATTTTAACAAAAATGAGGATATAGTAATGGGTTTTAGTGGATCAAAAGGCAAGACTGATGAAACGGTAGCTGATATCAATGCTTCTCATTTGGTATAAGGTTAGCTAAAGAAAAGGGTTTTCCAGTATTGGTGATTGAATGGGATTCATCAAATATCATGAGGTGGGGTTTGGGCTGAACTAAAGGACCTTAGAGATTGTTTGATATCTGAAGATTGGGTTCTGTTAGAGTTAGCTGAATAAGGGTAGATTAGTCAACTCACCTTGGTTAAGTTATGAGCTTATGTGGCAGTCTTATTAGAGGTTCTCTGTCCCATACTTAAGTAGGGGCAGTTTAGTCCTTGTATATTTAATTAGAAGCCTAATCACTATTAAGAGGTCGACTGATAGGGTTTAGCTATTAGGTTCGACAGTTCTTTCATCTTCTTCTTCTTCTCCTTCTCTTTCTTCTTCTCCTTACTGGTTCGGACTACTGTAGCTACAGTAGAAACAGGTTCCAACAGTTCCAGTCCCATTCAAGGTTAGATGGATAGAGATGTAGCTGGATCTTTTTGCAGATGTGTTAGCTAGTTGGTATTGTCACAAGATCTATATAGAAAATTGAGATTGTGTACATGTAACTGTGGGATAGGCTTCTGTGTTTTTGTTGGGCTAACACCATGTTCTATGTGATTTCATAAACATACTTTTTTTATTTTGAGTCTTTGACATCAATACATACATTGTTACACATCAAAAGAATGGTAAAAGAAAATTTAAAAATTCTCCTTCATGAAAGTCTGATCTATCATATGGTCTTTGCAATGAACTAATGATATGTTTATGGACTTAATCATCTACATTTTATTTCCTTTAATGTCATTAGTTGTTGCTTCAATTCATTTGATTTGCCTTATTTTCTTATTGATTTTTTTTTTTTGTTTTTATGCAGGTAAAGCATACTTTCCTTTTGTTAAAAAGTGCACTTGAACATGTATGTTTAACCATGATTTGATCTAAGGTACCAAAGTAATACTGGAATGTAGTATTCCAATTTAACCTTTTACTTTATTTGTGGCTGGTGATGGTTCGTGCAGATGGATTCAATTTTTACATGGCATGCATCACTTTGAGGAAATTTGAATATGGGGACTCCCAGTTTCTTGTGGAATTTTATGAAGTCCATAACAGGTGGGCTGATAGCTCTCACCATTTCAGATAGATATGCAAGTATTGTCTCTGTTCATGGCCTCTCCATGCATCATACATTCAATTCAAGCACCAATAGTGTTTTGAGATCATTGTCAGGTAACCTCCATTATTGCTTGTTTGGTTTGCCAAGTTACTAGTAGGTTGAGATTAACTTCCGGAGAACTTGAACAGAGGACTGTACTTCAATGATTTGGGTGCAGATGACTATGTTTTGGTGGAGAAGTTTTGTCTTGCAAATTATAAGTTTACAGGTGGAGATGTGATAGTGTTTCGGTAAATCTACTTCTTAATACCATAGATGTAGCTTTTCTACTAAATTGCACACATCATATTAGAATGTGAAGAACAATAGAGCACATTTTGGTATTGCTATGGCTATATTCCCTGGCATTTACCTGCTTGGCTTCTTTTTTCTTCAAACAAGTTCTGCTTTGCTATCAACCTATAAGAAAATACATGAAACAAAGATATATACACAATGTATGCACATAAATACATGCATACATACCTATACCCATGAATAAATGCATCTATTAGATATGACTACTCTGTATTTGAATTCTGTACTTGTGTATTCATGTTAGTGAATCTGAATCAATTGAATGTTAAGCCACCTCTTCGGGTGGTGATATTCACACTGTTTACTGTAAGAGAAATAAAAAATGCCTAAGAGGGAGATTGATGAAGTTGAAGGGAATTCTTTAAGGGTTGGAGATAAGCCTGTTGGTCTGGAACTGGTTGGATCTGCTGGGGTTGCCAATGGAGAGGTTGGAGAGGAGATTGCAGGTCAGCTTTTTGAGAACAATGTAGTATTGGACATTGAAAGGATTAATGATAATTCTGTGGATCTGAAGAATTTCAGGAAGGTTCCTCTTGGAGTGAGAAGATTTAGAAGCCAGAGAAATTATCAAAATATTATGATGTCAAAAGTTTTTGCTAGACTGAAAGGGGGTCTATTTGTGATTGGACCCAAACAAGAAGGGGATGAAATCAAAGAAAGCTCTGAAGAAGAAATAGAGGATCCTTGTTCTAGCTTGTCTTTTTCAGCTTGCGGTTTTGGCTTCATTTGGGGCTTTGCTGTTCTTTGTTTTTTCAGCTAGATTGGGTTTGCTCATTTTATGCTGTGATTCAGGAATTTGTTTTGGTTGGGTCGTTGTGGTTGGTGAGGTTGGTTGTTTTCTGGGCCGTCATTCTTTGGTCAGAGTTTGGTGTCTGGGTTTTGTTTTAAGTCTGTTTGGTTTGGTACTGGAGTTTGTTTGGAAGTGGTTTTTTCTTTTCCCTTGGGTGACTTCTGGTTACCTTTCTTGTATTTTTCTTTTTCTGTTTAATAAATTTGAATTTTATTACCAAAAAACAATCCTTAACCTTATGAGTCCTATTTAGTTCAGATACTTTATGTAAATCTGATATTAATGTCTTAGCCTTTCCATGACTTGGTTATTTAGGCTTCAGGTTGCACTCATTTCTAGGGCAGATCTAGCAGTTGAAGGATCCAGATTTATGACCATATGCTCAACATTTGTTGTTTCAATGCAAACAATATAGGCTACCTTTTTGGAGCTGTGGAATGTTAAATTTCATTGGTGCTAAACTTCCATAATTTTCAGGTCCCCTAATAATCACAAGGAGAAACATATAAAGAGAATAATTGCCATGCCAGGTGAGTGGATTAAAGTCCCCCATTCACATGATATGTTGAAGATTCCAGAAGGGCATTGTTGGGTTGAGGGGGACAATTCAGCTTCCAGCTTGGATTCAAGATCATTTGGCCCGGTATGTTTCTAAACATATGCCTACATGATATGGATAGCCACATGTCCGTGCACACACACACACACACTCAAGAACGTTATTATAGTAAAAAATAGAGGTATTGTTTTGTTAGATTCTAGTAGTATATGGGAGATTTGTTATAAAATAAGTGTGTTTCATAAGAGCTACTTGGATAGAGTAGAATATTGTATAAACTCAGCTCAGTTCAACAAAGCCTTATCCCAAGTCCCAACTATCAGGGACTGGCTTCAAAAGTTTCCACTCTACTACGGGCCATATCCATGGTTAAACTTTGATCTGTTAATTACATTGCACTTCCTCAACTACACACTTTTTTTCTAAGTGCATTAGAATTGCAAAAAATCCATAATATTTTGCTATAAATTGTTACATAATACTGTAGCTGACAATCCGATTATCTAAACGCAAGAAAGTTGTATAGAAACTGCTCTGGTTATGTATGTGGAAAACTCAAAAAACTGTATTATATTATGTTTAATATCAGTGAAGAAGGGTAATAACTATACTATAAATCACACAATATCAGTAAAAGACAGAGAATATACTGGCTCAATTTAGGCTATGTTTGGTTTGATAGAAAATAAAAGAGAAACAGAAAGTTGAGGGAAAATTCTTTTGACAAAATTTGTCAAATTCCTCAAGAGCTTTCCCTCAACTTTCTGTCTCTCTTATTTTGTATCAAACCAAACACAGCCTTAATGTTTCTCCTAGATCTTCAAGAGGGAATGAAGGGCTTGTAGATGGAATTGTCAACACATATCTGACATATTTTGTTTCTTTTAATTGGTTATCCTTGTCGTACACAAACATACACAGAATGGCTGGCTATTCTACAAATTCGTTTTTTCTTGATTTCTACAGAAATAGTATCTGTTTCTTCTATTTCATGCCACAGGAGCCCTACTAACTCAGAGGCACTTCTTTTGGCAGGTTTCTCTGGGGCTGGTTCAAGGGAAGGTTACCCATATAGTCTGGCCTCCGCAGAGAGTAGGTCAAGTGAGGAGAAGCATTCCAGAAGGAAGATTTTCTTTCTGACTCTTATATGCATGTGCAAGCATAGGACAGTAAGTTCATTTTTTACATGGACCTTTGTCAAGTAATAATCATTCAATTGGATGACTAGGCTGTGCAATCGGTGTTAGCAGTATGTGTGCCAAATCTTCACTATGCCTTGCTTCCGCAGACCAATTCTGTGACTTTTCTTTGACAATCTTTTCTAATAATTTTTAGCATATTCCTTTGATATTTGGTGTTGATTCTTATCCTAACTAGTGGTCTAAGAATATACTGATGAAGGTAACCCATAAAATAGTTTAGTCTTGGGAATCTCTATGGTCCCCATATCATGCAACCAAACAAATTAGGTGATGAGCATTCTTTTTTCTTTGTAGAATGATTGCCAGTCAAGCCAAAGTAGGAGTGAGCATGGTCGGTTTGGTTCCAAGGTTGAACTTGAAACCTAACTTGTAGGGTGTAGTAGACAAATTAATCAAATATATGACTGTACACATTGCCTCTTTCTGATAGCATCTTGGCAACTTTGCTTGTGACTACATGTATTTGATCCTTTCCAAATGGTGTGGTTCATCTTCTCAGCTACATCATTATGTTTTGTCTTAAGAATTGCCTACTTGTGCTGAATGCCATGACCACGGTTGTCAAGGTGTTTAGGTGATTCTGGGTGACACGGGGGCAGATAGGCGATAATGATTTTATAATATAAAGAACCAACTTTTGGCCAGTTCCCTAGTTTCATATGCCATTCAGCATGCATACTAATTGAAAAAAATAACAATTCTCTTTATTAAAAACAATAAATTTCCTCAAAAAATGGCAAATTATCATATGTAAAAGAAAAAATTCTTTTAAATATATTAATTTCAAAAATAATACTACTATAATAAGTATTTAATAGAGCAATTTCATATCAATTAGCAACTAAAGAAGGTTATTAAATTTATATGATAAAAATTCAAGACGGAAAGTAAAATAGAAAAAGAGGATGCAATTTTTGTGTTATTTAATTGGAGAGAGAGTAGAAAAAAAAGCCTCTATACTTCTATTCTTTCTTTCTCTTTTTCTTTTTCTCTCAAAACCTTTTCATCTTTTACATTTTAATAGTAAAGCATTGAAACAAAGTATGAATGATATATATGGTATATAATAAGTTTAGGCATTTGGGTGAGGTGCCCTGCCATGGGTGATGCCTAGGTGACACCTTGACAACTACAGCCATGACTTTTACAATAGTTATGAAACAGTCCTTCATACCCACTACCATTATTTGAACAGATTCTCTTGAGAGGTTTACTTGTCTTTCAGCCATAACACGAAGCTCTTTGAAATCATCCAATACTTGATCTCTAGTTTTCAATTTATAAACCTATCATTTTCTATTATCATTAGCTATGAAAGTAATATAATAAGATGCACAACCAAGTGTTTTAACTTTTATAGGCCCACAAACATTAAAATGAATTAATTCTAAAACATATTGTTTTCTATGAAAGTAGAAACTTTGAAATGAAACTCTATTTTGTTTATGAGCTAAATAACAAATACATGTATTTAAATTTGTACCTTTCATCTCTGTTAGGAGGTTTGTCATGGCAAGAATCTGTATTCTCTTCTCTTTCATGCGGCCTAGTCATTTGTGCTGTAATTCTATAGAGATTTCCTTCTCCATAGTGTTTATTTCACCCTTACGCATGAGTCCTTGTGTATGGTAAAGAGTGCAACACCTCTTGTCTCTTCTTACTATAACAGACCCTTTTGATGATCATTTTGCTAAGCAAGGGGTCAACAGAGGGAATTGCTTTTGGGCTTAGTTGTAACTGTAAGAAAAGGTTTCTGTGGTTGTCCTAAGATCATGGGGTAGCCGAGGCTACTCATAATATTGTATATTTCTCTGCTGATTTAATAGAAGTCTTCTTTCTGTTGCTGCTAAAAAAAGAGTAGAGACAAATAAATAACCACAAAGAAAACAATAATAATGATGCCAAGATTTATGTTAAAAACCCCTCAAAGTGAGAGTAAAAATCCACAGAATTAAAGCCTAAAGAGCTTCCACTATTAAAAAGAATAATGGGATGCAGTAGTCTCTCTAACAACCACTATATCAAGGGGAAACCCTCTTGGGTAGCAACAAACATCATCATTGTAGAAGTATTGGCTCTTCCTCTTCTACAGCCCTTATATTGCCTTTTCTCTAAAATCCTTCTCAAAATCCTCTTTTTTCTCTAAAACTTTTAGATGAGAGAGGAGATGAGAGAGCATAACCTCCAATTCGTTGGAGAGAAATACAACATATTAACTTCTTGGACAATCTAAAAGCAAATTTTTTTTTTCTTTTTTTTTATTTGGTTTGTCTTTCTTGTGTATGGGGGCCCACCTCATGAAGAGGGAATCCCAACAGCATCAACTCTCAAACAAAAACATGGAAAACATTTTTTTGGTTGTGGTGTATTTCTTTTTTCAAAAGTTAATTAAAATTAGAAATGCCTCTTGAATTCTTGGTTTCAAAATTATGTTTTCTACAAGGGTTTGATACCATGCATGCTTCACAAAGCATACAATATTCACACAATCCATTAGTGGGTCGGTATAATTGATCTATGCCATGTTGGGATGCACATATAAGTATATGAAGAAAAATACCCTCATTGGAAAAAGACAAGAGTGTTAGACAGTTTTGTATGCCCTTAGCTTCAATCAGAATGATGTACTTTATGAGTTTATTGTAAATGAATAAAGATACATATTTGATTTATG